GTAGACCGTTGCTGCTTTAATTTGTGCTAGGAATATCAGCACTATGTTTTTCCCTCTCTCCTTATGTTGCCCTGGACTCCTTCAGAGCAGAAACCACTCTGACAAGGTAACATTAAAACTGAGTGGACCTGACACGACAATTTGTTCATCCTCAGGTAAAGACTCACGTTCCAGCAGTTGTCTGTCTCTGTAACTCCTTGTCCTCTACTCGAAGTTTAAATGTATTAGAGGGGGAATCTTTTCTATCATGGCAAGTACATTCCAAAATCGAGCATCTATCACAGTAGTTCCCCAGTCCATCCTTGCATTCAGGTAATGGCATTTCAGCTCAAGACACCAGCTCCTCCTACCCACAGTGGAGGCACTGTATGAGAAGTTGCCTTACATATTCATGCTCTGCCTTTTAGGTATTTTGCAAGTCAGCACCATTAGCTTCTGCCAGAAGACACGTCCAGGTCACGCCACAGTAGTCGCGCAGCTGAGGTGTTCGCCGAACCTCAGTCGATCAGGAAGACGACATCCAATCCCAGGCAAAGCTCCGTTTGTTTCTTGCTCCAGACCCGTGCTGAGGGCTTGATGGGACAGCTTGCACCCACTACTTTAGAGTGGTGGCTTTGCTCTCCACTTGTCGCTGCAGGGGCACAAGGCCGGCAAAATAAATGTTATGTTTTTAAGCCAGCCAATCACTCCTTGAAGAAGGCATGTGCATTTAGCAGCAGGATAAAGCTCTTATGGAAGGCACCTGTAATTTGTTAAGTTTAGCAAATATTTTTGAAACAAATGTTAAAATCAGTAATTGAATTAAAGGTTTGGGGTTTGTTCTTTTAACTGCAGATTTAATGCGATTACCTGTGACTGTAGTAACTAGATGGATAGCTACAGTCAGTGGAGGTGGAGGAAATATACTCTTCATGAACGCAGCAAGAAGGAACTCAATGAATCCTGCTTCATGCAGTGTTTCAAGAGCACCATCTTGTGGTTTTCCCGTTTCAGAACGTATTTTATTTTTTAAAATCTCTATACTGCAGCATAATTTCCTCAAAAGGGTTGTCAGCCCTTGGCTTTAGGAGGAGATATTTTGGGAGCTGGGGAGGGAATTTTTATCACAATCTTAATCTAGATTCCTTTTTTTAAACTCTGTGAGTCAGGACAGACTTTGTATTTTTACCACTAAATATTCTGAGCTTTTTTGAGAGTGACGACTGCCAGAACGTTGAGTTATAAACTTTTTTGTCAAACAAAACATTTAACGTGCAAAAATGTCGCTTCTTTGCGGTGAAGCCTTTGGCTAGTCACAGCATATCTGACACATGCTGCAGTTTTGCCACGTGTTAGAAATCAGCCTCCGAGGTGAACAGCTAGGCCGCGCGCTGTGCTAAGGTGCCAGCAGTTGCAGAGTTGAAGTAAGAGGGTTTTTTTTTCTGTTTTGGTTCTTCCATGTCCCACAGTCCTCAAAGCACAAAGGTTGCTGCTGGAGGATAAATTACACTGATAAGTGCATACAAACCTGTCCTTGTTTTTACAAGTGATTATATCATCAGATTAATCATCATTATCTGACATTGGTCTCCAACTTCTCTGGTTGCTGTGGTGGGACAGCTGAGATTGTCTTTAATGCTTTGCAGAAAGATGTAAGCATCTCAAGCAGATCCTTGGGTTTTTCAGGACAACATCATAAGTGCAAGAGAGAGGAGCTGCAAAATGTGGATATTCAATATTGATTTCAGAAAGTCCTAAACCCCTGCCTCTGCCTGCCTCCCAGCTAGGGTCAGGATGAAGTTAAGGAATATTGGCTCCATAGTTGTTCAGGCCAGGGGGAAGAGCTGCTAGCCATGGCAATTCACAGAGCAGAGGAACATCCCACCCTTCCTCACTATGCAGAGGCGTGCCTAGAGATAAGCAAGTAACTGGGAGAAGTCTGTGCTCTTGCACCAGCCAGACAGAGGACTCTGTCAGCCTGCAGGTATTTATCACCCTCTGTAGATCTGAAAGGCGTATGTAATGTGGGTAAGAACCTTATCACGTTCCTGCCATGTCACTGGGACTGCCAAATGTTGGGTCTGAAAGTGGTTTTGACAACACAGCTGTAGTAGTTGGGGACGACTCATCTCCATATGGCAAGTGCTACTCACCCTGATTACATATCAAAGGCAGGTTCAAGATAGGCTCAGCACAGATATTATCAACGATTTGCATCTACTACTTTGTTCCCACCTTTGGCACATAAATCACTCTCCTCAGCACTGGTTGGGGCACCTGCTAATACTAACATCCAACGCTCTCACTCTCTATAGCTTTCTCACTCAGCAGTAGATGCCAGCACACCTGGGTGGGGACTGTTTGTCCACTCTTTTTTTCTGCCATATGCCGTTCACTGAAGCTATTTATGAGGAGACCAACAATCATGTGACTTTCAGTAAGATGCATAGTTTTTATACAGATCCATAGTTTTTATACAGGCTCGGCATTATTGGGCAAGGTTTCGACTGTTGGGCAAGATTACCATAAAGGAAGAAATAGCTGTGTGGCCACCACAGATCCCCATGCTTCTCTTTAGAAATTTTGCGTAAGAAAATTGCAAGCGTTGGTAGCAGGTCAAGGTCCTTAAGGAGCTGTTACCCACCTGTTGCTGCAATCTTGAATGTCTGTTCCGATTATTGACACTAAAGCTGGTAGGTAAGGGTCTGAGGACCAGGATAATACAAAAACAGTTGAGGAAGAGGAAAGAAAGAGCCACAATGGTTTGCAGCAGACCCATTACAGCTTGGCCAAAGCTTCCTTAGAAGTCAAGGAATCTGACCTTTCCAACAAGGTTTCAGATAGAAGGTAGCTGCCCCTTATCACTCACAAGGTAGTGAAAAATGTCTGTTTCTTCATATTGTTCATCTCCAGTTGTGACCACTGAAGCCATGTAGTCCAATTCCTTCCCCTTATCTGGAGGTAACAGGGAATTTTCCTCAAAATTCTGCAGGAGCAGATAAATTTCTACAGGAAACAAACAAGAAAAACCCCCAGCTGTTCTTCACTCTCTCCATGTACAAACTGTTACACCTACAAAAGAGTGGATAGTTCCCCTTAGTAAGCTCAAAACCTGAAAAGGTAAACCTGTAAAGTTTGTGACATCCACATTCAGCTCCAAAACAGACACACAAATTTTAATCGAAGATGTATCATACTCTGCAACACCAGTCTGAGTGTGGATGCCTATGCCACATTTCTCAAAATCAGTGTACAAAAGGGCAGTTCTGTCTAGGTCACATTAAGGTATCTGTGCTCTTCAGGACAAAAGAATTTCAGTAGACACAGATGAAAATTTTGTGACAGACTTTTGCTTATATTTCTTATCTAGCCATGCTCAGCCTACAGCCTACTAACAGACTCACTGCAGTTGCATGCATATCAAGCCCCTGACCATTGCATTTTCCATGTCTCTCAAACAATACCAGAGACACCTTGAGGGCTGTTACTTCCTATACAAGCACCATTCTTCTTCTCAGCTGCAGGACTGGTTAGTAAAGGTGGTATGGTCTAATTACCAGAATAAGATAGAACAGGATGGAAGACTTCTACCCTTCATTCTCAGACCTTGAGCATATCCATAAGTGGACTTAAATAGACAAGAGTTACAGAATGAAAGTTCTTTACATAACCGAGCCAGCCTCTTATTTTAAGTCTCAGGTTTCAGTTAGGAGATTAAGTTCACCACATAAAAGCAGAATGCTAGAGGTCCTGCTCAACTGTTTCTACCACTGCTGTCACAAATGGAAAATTAACAAGTGCAGGAAAATTTGCCATGCAGTATGTAACTGCTCTCCCAGTTCAAGAAGCAGGACCTACAATGCTGCCTTCCCAGTCTGTTATCTACTTACTAACAGGAAGAAAACACCCAAACCCCAGGCATTTCCAGAAAATGATTAGTCCTTTTCTTGAAAGTTTGCCTGTCTTTGCTGTGGAATCACAAAGACTTTACTGACAGTGAACTAATTCTGCAATGGCAGCATAAATTCAGACAACATAAAAGCTTCCATTCAATGCATTGGTTCAGAAACCATCGGCAATTACTGCTAAGAGCCCTTAGGTAAACTGCAGGAACGCAGCATGAGAACGGATTCAGGACATTTTATACAAAACCAGGAAATTTGCTCTTTGTTAAATCAACATTTTTAAGAAGCACATACTAGAAAAACTTGAGAAATTAGTATGAAAAGCAATCTTTTAAGATGATAAATAGGAAGTCCAGATTTGCCAACCGAGTTGTTGAGAGCAGTAATTTATTTTCACATTTACAAGACAAACATGAATAATATTTAGAGTAGTATTTACAAATATATACAAACATTAAAAATGTAGCTTGTGATTTGGAAAAAGCTGGCAAACAAAGTATTTTTTTAGCAGTATAGACAAGATACAGTACTTTTTTTTTTAAATTGGAAAGAGTATCACCTCTGTTCAAGGAAAACCTGCAGTTTCTGAATGAAGAAATGAAGAAAGAGCAACAATTTAAGATTCACATAAGGTAAACCACCAGAGAAAATGGTATTATGAACTTTCACATTTTAAAATTAAGGCAAAGCCTTGAAAAAAAAATAAAATCTAGATTCCCTCAATTTTACGTTAAAAGAGACTTCACTCACCTCACTTGACATTCTCACTATGAATGCTTTTAAAAGACTTTTGAAAAAGAGTAGACATTTAAATAAAACACAGTTTACACTTCCCCCTTCTGGCATTCAAGAACTGCTAGGGTTACACATAGAAGGCTACTGGCCAAAACTTTTTTGTTTTGTTCAATATTATTGTGGGGTGTTTTGAAGACTGGAACACAGTAGACAAATTGCGAAGGCACCATTTAAAATGTTATTAGAATCCATATCCAGAATTTTCCTTTAAATTTATAGATTAGTAAGACTTTTAAATGCATATCTGTGAGGATTTCTAGGAATTTCAACATGACCAAATAGTACAGAGGAATAATAAAATTAACCTTTTTTTTAATATAGAATAGCAGAAATCATTTTCTTGTTTGATTTTCTTTGTGAATAACTTCATATCCTAAAAAAACTTTTATGGGACATCTGACAATCTGTATTGGGATGGATGGATCACAATCGCCGTAGATTCTGTTTGCTTTTCTTAGTTCCAGGAAGCGGCCCTAGCTTAGAGTTGGGTTTCACTGGTTTTCCACTCATACAGTCACTGGAGCTGTGGTAGCTGCACATGCACTTAGTGCAAAAGTCAAAGCCACAATTTTCACGATTGCATGTTGCTCTTTGTAGATAGGAGTCGTACTTGGCAGGTGAGCCACAGCGATGGCAGACTTTAAGGCTTTCAGTGTTTTTCAAGGTCTTGGCAGCCTGTTGGAAGACGCATATAAAGAAAATCATGAGTGGAGGGTAAATACACACCCCAAACATTCCCTGATGTTATCTAAGGGCCACAAAGCATATTATCTACTCTAGATAGACAAATTACAAATTTAGCCTAATTCTGGTTGTATCAAATTCTGATGGAGATTGAACAGGAATAATCAGTCTATAACTGCAGGTACTTTGGACTGGAATACAGGTACCCAATTTAAAATTCTTTATTTTAAATTTAAAATTTAAAGGACAGACTGAATGCAAAGCAGTAAGAAAAACAGCCCTCTTAATTCCTCCAAACCTCATCCAAGGATGGTGATTTAGTTAACTTTAATTTAAAAAAAGAAAATAAATCAGAATTCCATTTAAATCATTAACATTTTGAAGAGTAAACAATGTGTCCAGATATCTCAGCTGTGGGGCACTTGGCTTGAATGGAAGCAATTCCTACTTCTCTCCAACAAATTAATTTTTGACATAAAAACAGATCCACCATTCAAAATCATTCAGCATCAGAAAATTATAGACCTGTATAGCACCTTTATCACTCAATTGTTCAAAGCAAAATGTTTTCTTAATCTAAATGTGTGTGTATAGACACATACATATGTTTATCAAGGAAAAAAATTTGACTGCTACTTCAGTGTACAGTTGAACTTTCAGATTCCTAATGTTACAAAGTGCTACATAGTAGTATTAGAGGGTCTTGATCATACTTTCCAGTGCGATTATAACTTCTTCTCTTATTGCATCAATTTGCAGAATAACACTTTTGAGCTTGAGTATAAAACCTTTTTCTAGTTAGGAAAATCTGCTGCTTATTAACAATGACTTTCAATAAACATTTTTAAAAGTCTTATAAGACACTTGCAATATAGATCTGCACCTACATGTGGGGAAAAAAAAAGCTTAAGAAAAATAACAAGGTGAAGGGAAACTTAGGCTGTTGGCAGTTGTTAACTCCAAATGTGTGACACACTACAAATACGTAGTTAAAAAAGCCATTTTAATGCCAGATAGTTAGTTGGAAAAAAAGCATAGAATGAACAGGAGAAACATTCATTTGTGTAATTTTTTAAAAATAAGAACCACTTAGTCTTTGGTCTTTTTTTTTTTTTTTTTCTTAAAATTGCCCATCAGTGTTGGAGCAAAATTGACAGTTTTTGTGGGATTTCTTATCTGGAAAACATGTGATTCAATATAAGCCACAGAAACTAAGAGGAAATGACTAAACTTTTTCATGTCTGATCCAAGCCAAAATTTAAGCCCCCCCCCAAAAAAAATCACTAAGCCATTTTGAGGGTACCTAGACACCCAGGGGAGAAAAAAAAAAAATGTAGAACATCCTAGTGTATCAATATTCTCCACTTAGTTTCTGACATTGTTTTAAAATAGGCTCAATAAGCAAAATCTGGCAGCCATACTAATAAGAATTACGAGTACTTCAAATTGGAGATAGTGCTTTCAGAAATATGCTTTACAAGCTGATCGTGTACCAGACAACATGTGACAGACTAAAGATGAATGGAAATCACCGGTTACCTCAGAAAACTCCGTGAGTCTGCTGTGATTCCTAGATGCTTTGGATCTGGTGCCTTTTTCATTCAAGTTTTTTGGTGGGGTTGCTTTCTGAATGGAAGCTAAAGCTGCTCGGTAGAGAACATACTCCCTTGTTGCAGCATGCTCTGATGCCTTAGTGACATTCTAATGAAAAGAAAAACAAGAATAAAATTTGAGAAGAGACTTAACTGATATTGACTTTTTGTTTAATAGAAGTCAACAACTTATTTTTAATCCTTCCTCCTGACTAGAAGGTTTCCAATAATAAAGCATCATACCAAGTAGTATGCTAATTATTTTACCTTAGCTTTCTCAGTCACTACTGTTATAAATGCGTAGAACAGACCCCTAGTTCAGACCATCAAAACCAACAGTCTTCTATTATATAATGCAACTTACTTTCACATTAACACATCATAATTATTTAGGAAGAGCATGTAACCTAGTCACTGCAACGTTTTAAAGCGCAAAGCAATATTTCTAATTCTTTACTGTGAACAGGGATGCTTGCAGTTTTCTTTCTGAGAACTAAACTCCTCCCACCAACTTTCTAAGTTTGCAGTTCAGGTTAAAAAAAGCATACAATGGCAGGGAGGAAATCAAACTGGATGCATGTTCAGTAGTGTCCAACTGTTTCATCCCAACAGGCCAGCACCATAAAATACTACACAAAATTCAAACTAGTTGACTACCTTATTCTGTGGCAGATCCTAAGCCTTGTTTCATTGTCTCTCCATCTCTCAAGGAAGACAAACACCCCTAGTGTTTTAAAAGAGCCCTGCCTTGAAGTGCAATGCTAGTGTGGTTGGATCTTGCATTTTTTATTTCATGGGACAAATAGGCATTAGGAATAGCTCACAGTGCAAAAAGCTTTTCAGTTTTCTGTAGCCAACATGTTGCACTTCAGAGACTGTTGCTAGAAATTATAAGCAGAGAACCTGAGTCACAGTCAGCTGAGTGGTTTCTCTCAGTCTCCCTCCCTTCTGGATCAGTGGGGATGCTGCAGTAAGCCAGCCTCGGCTGAGAGCCTCTAGGGCTTGCCCAGTGGGCAGCGCTGGAACTGACCCTCTCCTTCCTGCCTTCCTCTGTAACACAGGACACGTGGAAGCTCTTAAGAACATCTGCATCTCTCCTTGGGTAACCTTCTCAGTCAGCCTTCCTTGGGCTCCAAAGACAGTGAAGTGACTAGCAACACTTGAGACAGGGCATCCTAACAGGACAAACTCAGACCCTCCACTGACAGTATTTTCAACCTAAGAAACTCTTCTGTGATCTCTTAAGGCTGGGAAGCATCCTGAAATAGCAGAAAGACACTGTTGGTTTAGGCTTGAAATATCTAACAAGTGCAGAAACTTACAGAAAGGTTTTTCACAGCTTTGCTATACATTTGGAAAATCCATTTATCTTCTTGTAGAATCTTCTGCCATGTTGTACTGACTTTGGCAAAACTGCAACAACAATACAAACATTATCAGTTACCTCCCAGGAAAGGGAAAAACCTTTTATTTAACAGTTTCATTATTTTATTATTAACTATGTAATCTTTTTCTTTCATGTAGAAGATGGGATATGTTCACAGCTGTAGTCTTTAATTTGCCTTCTAGGGAAAAGACACATTCTCTATGCATACCACGGCTTACATTGACAGGTCATGTTTTAATATATTAATACATAATACTAACCATTGAGTAAATGTCACAAGCCTCATATCTAAAACATTTTTAAGCCATCTGATTAGGTTGTTTACTTTCCAATGAAATACAATGAGATCAATATACTTACTTTATTAAATCCATTTCACCAAGATGCCTTAAAATGTTTGCCAATATATGCTTCAGGTTCTTTTGGAAGAGTTCGGCAAGAATGTCTACTCTGTCTAATCCCATTTTCTTTCCAATTAGGTTACAAAGTTCAACCTTTCCCCTAAAAACAATTCTGTCTACTGCAGCCCAAGACTTGAGATTTCTTTTACCACTTTTTTTCAAAGTTGAGCAAACCATTTCTTCATAATGGATTACTGGCAATAAAGTCTTCTTTGAAAACTGTGCTTCATTTTGGTTCTTCATGAGACAATGCTTTGGTGTGCCACAGAGATTCCCAGCCAAAGGTATACTATCTTCATGTTCTATTGCATCAGTGCATTGATTACTTAACATAGAGGAATAACCACTGTCCTCATTAAATTTACTGTTTTCCAGTGCTTCCATTTCATAGATACCTTCATCAAGTCTCTGGGTTACTTCTTTGTTTTCTTTGTTATGTACAGGTCTTCCTTCACCTTCGAGATCTAGGCTTCTGGTGGCCGCATGGTATGAGTCACTAAGGAGTATTTTCTGGTGCTCTTCAGCACAGCTTTTACAAAAGCCTTCCTCATAATTCAAGAGGCAGGATTCTTCCAGTCTTGTTTTCTCCACAGCAGGTTTCAATGGTGCAAACCCAGCGTGAAGAGACGTACAATCAAAATCACATTTCATTTTGAAAGAGCGAAAAAAACCTGCTGAAAAAACAAGGACAGTATTACAACACAGCATAAACTGCATCACAAATTCTTTTTCTTATGAAGAACTGATCATGCCTTCCTTCTGCATTATGGATTTTAAGCTTTTATCTAACTCGCCCTCTAGCGCCTGAAACACAGACAACTAGTGGAACTAAGGATTTGAACAGCCACACATTGAATCTGTGTAAGATATTCTCAAAATTAGAAGTTTATGCTGCATAAAACTGGGGCGAGAAAACTGACTGGGTCATTTACTTTGTCACCATTCCACCAGTATAGATTACTTTTAGACACACCAAATCCTCCACTTCCTACCCTAAATGCAGCGATATACTCACCAGTGGCAGAGGGTCGGTGAGTGACAGCAGGCCCGTGCAGGGGTACAGCCAGGCCAGAGCAGCCTGAAGTTTGCACCCAAGGCCAGAGGCAACGCTGCTCCTGCAGCCAGGTATCTGGCATTTTTAAAAGGGGAGGAGGCTGGGTGGCACAGGGAAAAGCTTGGGTGCTCACATGAATGTGTGTGAATTACAATGGAAAGCAGCGACCCTTAAACAATGGTCAAAGCGAAATAAAGGTTCTTTACAAGCGTGATTTTAAGAGGGTGGGAGGTTGACAGATATTCTCGGGAAATTGAGCTTTTCTTGCCCTGTTTCTTTCCCCTCCCCCCGAAGTGTGGTGCTATCTATATTAACAATTGCGGGGGGATGGGCGACGGCTGAAGGGGAGAAGGAAGCCATCTCTGTCCTGTTAAATCTAAGGGGAAAATAATTTTCAACATGCTCTGCAATCCGTAGGAAATATAAGCTCCCCCATCTGAGTTGGTATTTTAAGAGATTTAAGCCCTTCCATCAGTTTTGAAAAAAGTATTAGAAAAGTGTGTTTCATGAACGTTTCAGAGAAAAAGTCCCTTCTTCGTACCTACGTTTGGTGGGAGAAAGGAGCAAATACGCTTATGGCTTTGTACAGTGCGAGTTGGGGGAGAGACGCAAGCCCTCGCTAAGCCTCCTCCTTCCTTTGCCCCCTCGCTTGCGCGTCGCGAGCGAACAGAGGAGCTTTTGGGCTGAGACTCTGCAGAATTAGGAGATGTCCCCCCCGATGTTTCGGGGCGCCAGGGCCGGCCCCGACCCCCCGGGCGGAGCGGGCTCAGCCGCGGGCCCCCGCGGCGCTGTCAGGCTGCTCCCGCCCAGCGCTCAAGATGGCCCGGCTCGGCGGCAGGGAGACCGGCTCCCCGCCCCGCCCCGCCCCCCGCCCCCCCGGACCGCACCCCCCGCCCCCCG